CTACGTACGTAGAAAAGACGATTACTAGATACTATCCGACGACTCTATCTTAGTATCTTAATAACTATATATATCCGACTCTATATCTATTTCTTCTTCTTCTCCTTTAATAACTCTAAAGACTACTTCTAACGCCGCGGCGTCGGGATTAGTTAGAGAAGCTTTTATTACGAGACCGTTAGCTCCTCTTATAATATCTTATACGTAGACGGCTCCCGATATAGCGTTAGCGCCGATAAGATAGGCTCTCGTTACTATCGCTACTATAGCTTAAGAGGGTAAGCCTCTCTATAAGGACTCCCTAGATAGACTATATATCGTTATAGAGTATACGGGATATAAAGCGCTTTAGTATCTACTAAACGTAGTAATCGAACTCTCGAAAATTAAGAATATTACTCTAGCTTAATATAAGCCTTATCGATTATTAAAAGTAACCTAGATTATCTCTTAAGACTTATTATAAGAAGAATTAACGATAAGACTATTTAATAGAGTCTTATATAACTTAATATTCCTTAATATAGTCTATAACGAAGATAAATAGATTAGCTATTTTAGAAATTACTATACAAGAATATATTTCGTCTATATATATCTACGAAAGTATTAATTATTCTAAATAGTTTAAGACTTTATAAATATAATTTATATAAGATATAGCTATAACGTTAAGTTTATTAGAATAGATAGAGAAAGGTCGCTATCGAAGATCTATAATAATAATATACGAGATAGAGATCTAATAATTAAATAAAGTATACTATATACTTCTACTTAAAATAGTTATATAGAGCGAGTAGGCCGATTATTTATTAATATAGCTTAAATAATATATCTATATATAAATCTACTAAAGAATCTATAGCCTAAGATAGTAAAAATCGTAGAATATATTCTAAATCGATTACTATCTCGTACGCTTAGCTAGAAAACGCCGTTCGAAATACTATACGAACGATAATCTAATATCTCGTATATATATATATATACGGCTATAAAGTTTACGTATTATAGTATAATATTCTACGAAAAGATAAACTTTAATAACGCGTATAGATTAGGTATCTTATCGAGTATAATTTAACGAATATCTTTCGAATCTAGCGACCTAATAAAGACTAGATTATATAAGTATAAGATATTATCTTTAACGATAACGAGACGTTTTTACTACTTCTATATAAAGATAATAAGTTACTATCGATTAAGTCGATTTAGCTAGATATTAAAATATATAAGTTAATATCTAAAATAGATATAATCTTAATTAATTCTAAAAATAGCTTAGCGCCGAATTATTTGGAAACTACTTCTAACTAATTAGAAGCTTAGGAGTCTTAAATAACGTTAATTCCTAGCTAATTAGAGACCGAGAAAGCTAAATTACGTAAAGCGCTAACTATATATAATTCTATAGATATATATCTTATTTCTAATACTATATCTAAATCTTCTTCTTCTTCTTCTTAACTAGCGATATCTATAGAGCCGATAGCTACTATAGAAGTAATCGTAGACTTACGAGGCTCGCGATCTATAATAGAAAGTATTAAGGGATCTCGCCGCACTACTAGCTAAGAGGACTCCGCCGCCTAGGCCGCGCGCTAGGACGCCCCTACTTAAGAGGACTTCTAGAAGAGACGCGAGTCCTAACGAGAGAGCTTCTTTAGTAGCGCCATACCCTCGTCGATATCGCTATATTCTTCTTCTTTATTTATTACGAAGAATTAGCCTCTAGCGGAGGCTAATCTCTTCTTAATAAGAGAATAAGAAAGAAGAGAAGAAATTTAGAAAGAAGAACTATAAATATATATATTTAAGAAGACTACTATAGAAGACTTATCTCGCTAGACGTCCCCATTAAAATAACTAAATAATTAGACTCTAAACCTTAAAGTTAATTATAAAGTATAGATTAAGTTAAATAATAATAAGGCCTTATATAAGCGTATTAAACGACTTATTAATAAGAATAAGAGAAAGAGTAAGAATAATTAATAATAGTAAAGAGAACTAATACTCGGAGTATTTATCGTATATTTATATACTACTATAACTAATTATAAGTTAAAGAATTACTAGATACTCGACTCTAGATCTAATATATATATATATATAATAAGCTAGAGAACTTTATAAGAACTAGAGAAGCGACTAATATTAATATTCTTATTATAGAGATAAATCGATATTCTATTAAAGTATTTAGAAGCGTTAAACTACGCGTATCTACTAAAAACGAAGTTAAGAGACTTATACTACTCGACGTCGCTCTTATCCTAGGGTTTATAACGAACCTAGTATTGCTCTCTCGCTTATATAATAAGAATATTAACTAGAATATACTAGACGGAGCCTTAATACTAAATAACGAGTATCTATACTACGTACGAAGAAAAGACGATTACTAGATACTATTTAATAATCCTATCTTAGTATCTCGATAACTATATATATCCGACTCTCTATCTACTTCTTCTCCTTTAATAACTCTAAAGACTACTTCTAACGTCGCGGTATTAGGATTAGTTAGAGAAGCTTTTATTACGAGGCCGCTAGCTTCTCTCGTAATACTCTATATGTAGGCTCCCGTTACTACCGCTATCGTAGCTTAAGAGGGTAAGTCTCTCTACGAGGACTCCCTAGTTAGACTATACGCCGTTATAGGCTACGCTAGATATAAAGCGCTTCGGCACCTACTAGATATAGTAATCGGACTTCTAAAGATTAAGACTATTACTTCTATTTAATACGAGCCTTATTAATTATTAAAAGTAACCTAGATTATCTCTCGAGACTTATTATAAGAAGAATTAGCGATAAGACTATTTAATAGAGTCTTATATAACTTAATATCTCTTAATATAATCTATAACGAAGATAAATAGATTAGCTATTTTAAAGATTACTATACGAGAATATATTTCGTCTATATATATCTA